CGGAGGAGGGAGCGGGCCGCCGGGCAGAAACTGGTGACAAAGGCGACGGGAGACTGGCCCGGCGCACCAAGCTGGCGGCCCAGGAGCCCCGCCGCAGCCACCTGCTCCCGCGCCCCCAGCCCTGATCGGTACCAAATATCCGGAGCCTGGAAACGGACTCGGGCCGTCCAGTACGGAGGGAGAGAGGAGACAGAAAGGCGGGCGAGCGGGCTGGCGGGCGGGCCTGGGTGGGGAGGAGGAGGGGAGCTGCAGGTCTGTAACCGCAATTGCGAGTGGCTGGAGAGCGAAGATCAGCTCCCGCGGCCGCCTCCCTGCTGTCTCCTTTGTGTTGTGTGACGCGCCTGTGGCTGGGGCCCCGCTTTGCCCCCGCCCCCGGGCCCTGCCTCTCCCAACGGAGGGTCATGTCTTTAGGTGGAAGCTCGGTGTGTTGAAGGCCTCAGCAAAAGGCCACACGGGTCACCCAAAATATAATCGTTACTGTCAGCCGTGTAGTCAGCATTCTATGCTGTGGTTCTGTGGCTGAGATTTGCACAGGATACTTCCTGTGTGCCTCTCCGACACTTTTTAGGGGAAAGATAATATATGGGCATAAAAAAACTAACACAACGTACAGAACTAGAGAGTAGCTGATAAAAATCTAGGCCAGTTTAGAGAAGAGAGTGTTCACAACCAGCTGGGGAGGACTGAGTCATTCATTCATCAAAAGTGCATGAATGTCTAGTCTACTGAATGTGACGGGGTACGGGGGTAGGGGGGGGAGAGCGTGATAAAAATGTGTGTCAGACATCTCTTATGGCATGTCACACGTTGGACTATAATTGTGACATTTTTATCTCCTGGAATAGGCGACATGCATGGCCTGTCCATCTCCTGGCAACGGAATTCTCCCTTCTTTGAGAAACTCGCCTCAGTTGTGAGTTCCTCTCCCTAGTTTGCACAATCATAGAACTTCTCCACCACCATCACTCTTCCTTCCTCTCCCATCCACACACTTTCATCTAAGGATGGGTGTGTGTGTGCCCAAGCCAGGTCAAAATACTCCCCTGGGCTTATTACATAAAGAGAGACAGATAAGTATTCTATTTCCTGTGGAGGAGGTTTGCCCTCATTAGTAGACCGTGAAGCCAAAGTGAAGACAGAAACAAAAGTAAGAAAAAGATGAAGAGGGTGTATTCTGATGTTAACCACAATAGCAAACTAGGGGAGCCTTGGAGCAGCTGGTGTCCCTGCAGATCTTGGATTCTGGAGTCAATCCTCAGCATCCTCTCAATTTAACCTAGTAATTTTAGTATTTTAAGTGACTACTAAAATTTGATTTTCTGCCACTCACAGCTCAGAGTCCCAATATGAGAGGTCTCATGGTTTTATTTGCACTTGACATTGAAAAGATTGGCAGACCTTAGGCTAATAAAAATTTAGGAGAAGACTTTCTAGGCCAGAGGGTAGCAAACTATGGTCCACAGGCCAAATCTTGCCCACTGGATTTGAATAACTGTTTTACGTTTTTAAACGGGTCTGTTTTAAGTGGTTATATAAATACAACATAATACTTTCAATTTTGCCTCTTAGGTCTCAAAGTCTAAAATATTTATTATTGGATTGTTTTCAGAAAAAGTTTGCCGACCCCTGTACTAGACAGAAAGAACACTCAATAGTTAAATGTGTGAATAGGGAAGAGGTAATATTAGAAAGGTAGTTTTATGAGGATTTTTAAGTTCCCTACCTTTTAGTGACTTTTTTTTTAACTTCCTTTGGTCATAGAGAATATTTGTAATAGCAATATTTTCTGTTTCTCTCTCCAAATCCATTGTCTCCACGTCTCTGTCATGCTCTGCCCTGGGAGGCTGATATTTATGAATACATGACCAGGGCCTCCTTGCCTGTAGCTTTCTGTTGAGATCCACCAATGCAAAACACTGGCAGAAGATCACAAGAAGGTAGGAGAGAAATATCAAAATAGGTATTACACTCCCCTCCCCTTATGCTAGGCCAAAATTTTGGCCATAGAGTGTCCCTCTGACTACAATACCCATCCAGAGACCTCTTGTTTTATGGCTCCAACTCTCTCTAATAATACCACTTTCTTCCAGTGCCCTTTCAGGCCTAGGATGCTAATGGCTTCTCAGTCTTGCTGGTTCCTTAACTATACCCACACCACTATAAATAGTCCCTTCATTATATATATTTTTTTTCAGTTAACCTATTCTGAGTGTGGCTTCTGTCTCCTGCCTAGACTTTGACTGATATGTAAGATATGCCAAAGGGTCACTGCTTTGTTTTCTTTAAAACTATCCACAATTTCTTATGACCTCCATAAGATCATAAGGTATATTTAATTATTCATATGACCTCTACTTCCTTCTGTCCCATCCTTTTTTAAACCCATTTCAATCATACCTTTTAGCCCCACCAGTCCAAAAACACTATTTTTATTAGCATTAACAATGACCTCTGTGTTGCCGAATCCAGAGGTCATTTCTCAGCCCTCCCTCCCCTGATCGGCTAATCATCACCATGTAATGGATATGATCCTACCCACTGTCTTGAAACAATTTTTTTGATTTTGTACTTTTGTATTTTTGCTTATTTCATTTATCTCCCAAGATGATTCTATACCGCTGGCCACATTGTTGAAAAGTGACCTAAGCCAATGAAAGCTCATTTGGGGGGTTCTTTTGTATAGTCATATCTGCCAAGTATTGGAGATATTTATAGGCTAACAACTCCACCCAGTATCTCCCTATCAGGTTATAAAGAAAATTAAGTCTGAAACCAAATTAATATATATAGAGAGAGAAATACACATTTATCAGCAAGTAGTACAAAAAGTCATAAAACCTTCTCTGAAAACTTGATAAAGTCCCAATTCCTTATCCTTTTATGGGCTCTGACGGTATGGCCCATAAAAGACTTGTGCACACACAGACATTTTGGAATCATGCCCTGGGCTGCAAAAAGTAAAGTCTGAAAGGATCCCTTGGTTTCTATATCCTATTCAAATAAGAGTGAGGGGTTTCTTAAAAATATTTCAGCCAATCTACATATTTCAAATACCCCCACTGTAAAGCCATTTCTGGTATTCATTATATAATACTATAAAAGTTCTGTTATTAATCTAAGATTTAAAAAAATAGTTTAAGGTCTTAATATAATTCCCTTTAGAGCTTAGCCTTCTGGTAAAAGTCTAGGTTACAACACCTGTAGTTTGTATTCCTAGTTAGACAACTGAGCAACCATGGAATGTACACTAAAACTAAACACACAGACACACACATGCACACGCACACACACATATTCTTTAGGAGTTCCTCCCAATTTCCTACACCTTTAAGTGTTTCAGTGTTTCAGATAGCACTTCAGTGTCAAACTTCCCCTTCCTAACTATTTGGATAATTCATTTAGTCTCTGCTTTAATTGCTACTGATTAGAGTAAATGATATTGCTAAAATGGCACTATTTTGGCTAAAAAACATGACAATTTATATGTTTCAACTTAATATTCTCACAACTCCAAATTTATATTTTCAGCCCATACTCCTTTGAGTTCCATACTGGGCTATCCAACTGCCTTTTTTTCATAGTCATTTGAATATGTAATTGGCTGTTATGGACTAAACATTTATGGCCCCAAAGATTTATATATTGATGTCACCTAACCCCTAATGTGATGGCATTTCTAGGTGGGGACTGTGGGAGTTGATTAGATTTTAATTAGGTCGTGAGTATAGGGCTCCCATAATGGAATTAGCATCTTTGTGAGAAGAGGAAAAAAGACCAGAGCTCTCTCTCATTCTCTCACTCTCACGAATGCACACACGCGCTCGAGCGCGCTCTCTCTCTCTCTCCCTCCCTCTCTCTTTCTCTCTCTCTTCTGTATGAGAGAAAGTGGCCATCTGCAAGCCCAGAAGAGAGATTTCACCAGGAACCAAATCTGCTGACACCTTGATCTTGGACTTCTCAGCCTCCAGAACTGTGAGAAATAAATATATATTGCTTAAGCTGCCCAATCCATGTTTTTTTGTTGTAGCATCCTAAACTAACTGATATATTAGCATTTAAGCATGAATAATTACAATTGATCTTTTCATTCCTTCAGTAACCCCTGTTCCTTCTGTGTACTTCATATCTTTAGAGAATACCTCCACTTACACAGTGGCTAAAATCTAAAATGTTAGTCATCTATTGGCTCTTTTCTTTCTTTTATACTCCGCATCTATTAGCAGATTCAGTCAACTCAAGCTTCAAAATACTATAGTTTGACTGCATCTCATTACCTGACTATTACTATATAGTGTGAATTCTCATTATCTCTCACTTGGACTTTTAATAAAGCCTCCTTTCCAGATTTCTTGTTTCTGTCTTTGTTCCTCCACATCAGCCAGAGAGACTTAAATTATAAAATATAAGTTAGAGCAAGCATGTCATTCCCTTGCATATAAACTTCTAGTGGTAAACTTTTATTCAGAATAAAATCCAAAATGCTTATCGTAATTTACTAGACTCATCCTCCACCACCTCATATCTTTCCTCTCATTCTCTCACTCACTGCCCTCCACTCACACTGACCTCCTTGATGTTCCTTGAATAAGCCATGCATATCTTTGTTTCAGGGCCTTTTCACTTCATTGTTCCCTCTTCCTGGAAGGACCACCACCTTACCCCACCCATTGCCAAATGACTGCATGATGTGCTCCCCCCAACTTATTTCAGGTATCTACTCAAGTGGCATCATCTCAGAGAGACCATCCCTGACCTTATCTAAAATAGTAATCCCATACCTATCAGTCCATATCTTGCCCACTTTTTCATCTCTTGAAGTCAGTTACCCCTGCAGATATTATATTTTTTAATATTTATTTATTACATCTGTTGGATCTACCAAGAAGACTGGAACTTTGTGCAGATTACTCCTGGATCCTCAGCACATAAAATAATGTTGGTAATAGCTGCTCACAAATATTAAATAAATTGTTG